GGTTGGTTAATTTTATAAAAAATTCCATCATATACACGGATGGAATGATGAATCGGACAAAGCGTCTGTCTATCTGTCCGTCCGTCCATCCGTCCGTTCGTCCGTCTGTCTGTCCATGCGTCCGTCTGTCCGCCTGTTTGTCTGTATGATACTGCTGGTTACGCCTGACGCAGGACAAGGTTGGACAGAGGAGCTTTACCCCTAAAAATTCGTTGACGCAAACCAAAACCCCCGAGAGTGGGGATAGGAAAGACCGCTTCTTCCTTTATCTTATTTTCGGCTGTTTGCTTCGTCCATCTTTTCGAATATTACATATATCACTGATTTATTATTTCGTGCTATAACACAAGTGCACCTCGTCTAATTTAGTCATATGATAAGAAAAGCATTGCTTTGCAAAGAATCTATAATTTTATTTGTGTTCATTATTAAAAGAGTGCGAAGCATATAAGTATCAACGACTTTGAGAATAGTGTTCCGGAATCATAACGAAACTTTCGTCCGTTTTACCTGTGCATCCTCATATTAAGCTCAAAGATCACTCGCGTAGTAGAGTACAATCTCTTAAATCATTGTCCAATTCTTTTTGTAATCACGCAAGATCACACGATACAGCCACTACATATCAATGCGCTTGTGTAGACAACAAAAGCAAAATGCATTGTTCATCAGTTCAACAAGATCCTGTTCCCATCTTGCATGCGCTTGGACCACAACACACAAAACTGATGGTATACACTTGGACTAAATGAAAGAAACATTCCGGCAGCACTTTTTTTGAGCGACGCTGGCTACGACATTCTCTCTGTGTGTGCGACAACCCCTAGATTATGATGTGCCACAGAGGTTAGGGCAAACCCCCTTCTCCTAACTAGTCCACTAAATTAAGTAACAATGAGAATGCACTAACCACCACACTTCTATTGCTTCCCCATTGCTTACCCAACCATGGTTGCGGAACGGGCACCTCCATTTCATCGGCAAGCCAGACCAGAACGATTCATGTAAAGGCAAAACGATGCAGTTCGGTCAAGTAAAAAAATAAAGAAACATTAAAAATTTAGCCAGCTTCTACTGAAATCAAAAGAGAATTCTTAGACTGACCTTTCGGTTGTGGCGGCAGGTTGTGTGATTTGTTGAGGTTCTAAATTTTGTCTCACCTCTTTAGAGTGTGCAAAACAGCTGCGTTGTTGATCCACCATCACAGAGTGCAATGCATCTTGAAATTTTGGAAGGGTCGTTCTCTGTGCAATGTCACGTATTCTAGTATTAAGCATTGGGTCAACGCCACTCACTGAAACGTATATATAAGGAGGAAATGGTTCCATAGCACTCGCTTAACAATGGTTTCTCATTTCACACTTTGCAGCATATACCTTGTAATTCAAGAATAATGATTACTTCTCATTTGCGTGTACAACTTGGCGTACAATACTTTCCGTGTCCATTTTCATTTCTTCATGTACACGTTGGTTTTCTCTTCCAAAGCCTCGTGTAATTCATCGCTCTAAGACAGCTGTCATTTGCTTCAAAAATATAGGCTCTCACTTTTCGATTTGCGATTATCTAGAGGGAATGTCGATGCCTCACGCTTTCGTCGCAAAAGGCGCTGCATAATTGCCGCATGTCGTTGCGTGCACACCGATAGTAACGGGCTAGAAGGAAATTGTCCGACGTTTCTATTTTTAGGTTCCGTCACGCCACACTTCTATTGCTTCCCATTGCTTACCCAACCACGGTTGCGGAATGGGCACCTCCATTTCATTCCGATTTCATTCCGTGGAATCATAACTTGCCGTAATCCCATTCTTCTCAATTCCTCGAAAAAAAACTCGGCAAATTCTATTTCCGGTAAAGAATATAGGCAGGTTGATTCCATTGCTACAATTCTTTCACGTGGGAAAGCCATATCTTGATAGCTTTATTGAGCTAAGCATAATCCTAACAACATAAAGCTGATGTCATCTGACGCTTAAGAACAGCAAAACTACGCTAAACACGTTACCACGGTCGAGGGATACTATAGCTTGGTGACTTGTCTTGTGCAGTGCAACCACACTACCAGTTCCCACAGGAGCAGTCCTCCGGCTACCTATGGTATTTAAAAGGTGAACGCAATCTTTAAAAAAGAAAGTTAGTAAACAGTTGGCAACAGTTGCATCAACATGTTTCAACCGTATACTACTTTCTTCGCGGCATCTCCTTACTACAGCCAGCAGCTTGAAACTTTTGCTCTTACTAACAAGAAATGCTTTTTTGCTCTTCCTAAGTAACTACTAAGCCACATGCGTTGCCAGATCTCTCGTAAACAGCACCGCATATCTTACAGTAATTGTGACGCTCTTCAAAAAAATTTAGACCAATCCTAATTTTCTGGAATACTTTGACATCAAAATTTTGATTTTGAATTTGTTAAATACTTCGTTATAAAATTATTTGGCAAAGTGATGATACACTTGGCTGATGATGATGTGTACAAAACTGATATTATTTTGCTACCTTCTATGGCTACTAAACAGTACACAGTGTGCTATTTCAATGTACGAGCATATATAGCCTTCAAACATCTGCTACAGTATACGATACCGGCGATTCTATACCGGCTAGTCTTGATATTATGGAGTTTTCGAAGAAGGGCCCCAAAAGTATGGGGCCCCAAAGCAATTTGCGTATGGATGCTTTGGGTCAGGCAGGAGCGAAGTGTATTCAAATAGGGTCGGTGCCGCTTTGAACACTCCCCCTATTCAGTGCCACTCTAGTCTAGGCTGAGGGCAGCCAATTCAGTGGGTGCCGTCAAGTTTGTCTGACCCAAAACTTTCGGGGCAGGTTTATGGGCTCCCGCTAAATTCGAGAAATAGCGTTCCCAATCCAAAACCCAAACGCAATTTGTGTTTTACGCATGCGCAGTGGCCTTGACGCTATTTCTTTGGGGCCCCAATATTTGGGACCCCTATTCGAAAACTTCCTATTCTATGTGCACATTTGGATGTGGGTCCTTGTCTATGATTCATTCATGCCTCTATGTATGTTGCTGGGATGCGTAGTTGCCATGGTAATTACGTATTTAGCGGCCACTATTTATTCTACATGCACAGTTGTACTTCGCTTAATATCCTTCATATACTTTTGTAATTGAGTCATTTTGATGTGACAATTAACATGGACATATAAACTCTAGTTAACTAGAAATTGAGTAATGTAAAAATTAGTCGAGTCAGGACTGTTCGCGAACTGCTCTGCAAACTAGCAAGTTTCACTAATCAGAATTTTATTACCTTGACTTACTCGGAGGTTAGTGCCTGACAAGTAAACGGTTAGTATTTGGTTATTGAATAAGCCGGCCTTTTTTCTGAGAGGGCATGTTTAAATGAAATACGTTTTAGTATTGAGTGAGCTCGAATGCGAAAATGCTAAATGACGACTTAGCTAATCGTCACGTAGGGATTCGGGGAGATATGGCCTTGATTTCGAGGGATCACCTTCGGCTGGCTACCCGAACCAATGTTTTCAAATGTATATTCTATCTCTCTCTATCCGGTTTATCTTGTACAACTGCTCACCACACACACAGTTCACATAGCGCACAGTTCGTCGTGTGCAAATGTGTGCTGCACTGAACTACAGACCTTTGCTATAATTTCAGGCAAAGGCACCCATGGGGGTAGGTACACTGTCAACCAGTTTACACTTTTAAGGATGCTTGGCTTGTTTACAACTAGCGCCTTACCATAAGAGTGTCATAGACACGCAAAACACTTTTAAGGACAGTAATTAGTTTACAGTACAGGAGGGACAGTATTGCAAAAGGGAGGGGGGGGGGACAATATTGGGCAAGACTGCCCGCATGCTAGTATGCGAAACCTTGCATTAAACACAGGGATCGCACAAGCGTCAATAGGCACGATATTTTAGAGAAGCATTTTTTTAGTATCCATCCTAGTCACCGATGGCGGCCGATGTAAAAACAAAGTGCAGGATGGGGACCCGGCAGGCGGCTGAGGTGCCACCAAGAGAGAAAATTCGCAAGGTGTAACATCGGTATGAGTTCTGCAGGGCGGATACCATGGCACGGAGCTGTGGTTACTCCTAGAATGGAGAAAAACTTCGCAGCAACATGCAGTCTATACAAGCACAAAGTTATAGTGGATACGTTGCGTATGATAGTAACATGCTTGTAATCAGACAAGCCTCTATGCTGCTTTATTGTTAACTTCAGTGGTCTGTATAAAAAATGTTTGAAGTTGGAAACACAGCACGTCGATGGAAGTCGGCTTCATTTTTTTTTTTCGAAAAAAGACGTAATTTCATGCCCATTCTATTCTGTGGATAATGAAATAAATTACCTTTCATTCCTCCTAGCTTTGTCGCCATTCAATTCCCATTCTGTTGCGGAGTCGCAAAAATGCGGAATGATTCCGGATTTATTACAATTTCGGAGCTGAAACCCCGCAACACTGTACCCGACTTAGCAATATCAACGCGGCGCTGGTACCGGCAACGATGATAGACTGTGCCTCCTTATCAGGCACTCAGCCAACCCAAGCATTTCTTCATACCCTCGACGCGTCCTGCTGCCCATTCCGATATTGTACGGCGCCATCGCATAACATAAGCGTGTAAAGTGCAGAGATTTTGGCAGCGAGCCGTCATAGATATATTCAACTCGTGCCGTTATCACCTTAGGCAGCAGCCATCTGCAAGAGTTGTGAAACACTAAGGAAATGTCAACGGCTACGTGGTCTCTCCTTTTTTTGGTACAGTTATTTACAGTTCTTTCATTTCAGGTGTTCTAACTTATTTAGCAATAGAATAAGGGGCCTCTTTTCACGCACACACAAAAAAGAAAAACGTCGGTCTTACTCGAGCGAAGAATAACTCTTCGCTGATACGCCAGATAGCGCCAGAGTACCTGCTCTGCTGGCAGTGCGCGCACGCAGCAAGATCGGCAGAGCATCACGCACTTATGCATCCCTCTCTCTCGTTAACGAGCCGGCTCCAGCCGCCTAGCTAGTTCATCATCGCTCGCCACGCACAGCGGCGGCTGTTCGGCTCTGGCGTTAGCAATCATTTACTGCCGGTTTGCGACGAAGTCGAGCCGGTGCGGCGGGCCGCACGAGCCTAATTTCCGGAGACCTCTGCCCCTAGTGGTGAGCGTGAAAAGGAAAGCCGGTTTTCGACGTTATCCGACCGCTACGGCGCCTGCTACATCTTGCGGAGTCACCGCGCGAGCAGACCAGCGTCATTTGGGAAAGTGAAAGAGGACGAGTCGCTTCCCGTCATTTTGCTGCTTGCATCGCACGGAACCCCACCATGCAGCACTGTGCTCTCACCGAGGCCAACCTGAATTATCCGCAACTGCAGATCGAGGATGACCCCAAGAAGCAGGCGACGGTGGAGAACATCGTACGCCCTCTCGTTCTCAGCGTACACACTATTTGCAAGATCCGGGACGTGTTCAACAGTGAGATCGAATTGGGCTTAATGAAAAATCCTCGTAGACCGTCGTCTCTGCAGATGGAGAACACCTATTTGCCCGAACTTCCCGATGGCACCGAGAGGGGCGAGTTCCTTGCGCTCGACTTGGGTGGAACCAACTTTCGAGTCCTGCACCTTCAACTGGATCCCGAAGGTGAGAAGCAGTTTCACGTCAAGTACTATTCTGTTCCGGAACCCATAAGACTGGGACCTGGCGAAAAGTTGTTCGACTTCCTGGCCGACTGCATTCACGACTTCATGGAGACCAATAACTTGATGGGAAAACGAATGCCCCTGGGTTTCTGCTTCTCCTTTCCGATGGTACAAAGGGCGCTGAATGTGGGAATTCTCGTCACATGGACAAAGAGCTTCAACTGCTCGGGTGTAGTTGGTCAAGATGCAGTTCAGATGCTCAAAGACGCCGTCGATCGGCGAGGTGATATGGACATCGATATTGTAGCCGTCGTGAATGACACGACGGGTACCCTGGTCAAGGGAGCCTTCCTAGATCACGAGTGTGCCATTGGCCTCATCTTGGGAACCGGCAGCAACGCCTGTTACCTCGAGAAGATAGAGAACATCGAAAAGTGGGAAGGTGATAAAACGGGTATCCGTGAAGTGGTAATCGACGTTGAGTGGGGTGCCTTCGGCGACAACGGCGTGCTCAACTTTATCAAGACGGAGTTCGACCGAAACGTGGACGACAACTCGCTGCTCGTCAACTCCTTCACTTTCGAGAAGCTCTTCTCCGGCAAATTCCTCGGTGAGCTGGTGCGACACGTTCTGGTCAAGCTTATTCGAGAACGAGCCCTCTTCGAAGGCAGGGCCTCCGAGACTATCCTCACGAAGGGCACGTTCACGACGGCTGACGTCTCGGAACTCGAAGGTGATGACGGCGAGAGTCGTGCGCGCGAGGTTTTGGCTAGGATTGGCTACATACGGGTAACGGACGAAGATATCGCTGTCGTGCGCTACGTCTGCGGTGTGGCGTCAGCGAGAGCAGCGCTCCTCGTGTCCATCTGCCTGGCGGAGCTACTGAATCGCATGCAGAAGCCGACAGTGACAATAGCCATCGACGGCTCACTTTACAAGCACCATCCCAGGTTTCACCGACTTATGACCCACTTCATCACGATGCTTGCGCCTAACCGTCATTTCAAGCTGATGCTCGCCGAAGACGGCAGTGGCAAAGGAGCTGGGCTCGTCGCTGCTGTGGCCGAGAGGCTGCGACGTGCGAAGTTGAATGGCTACCATGAGTGATAACCGTTAATTTGTCAGCACACGGTGCTGTGTGTGCGGAAAAAAATGAACTGATTGCATGCTCTGCAAGTGTACAGTGTATTTTGTAAATATAACCCAGCCCTCTATGTTGTTTCTAAATCGTCTGATGTGAAAAAAAAATCCCCACTGCTTTCCGAGTTCTCAAACCTTGCAGCAGTTTCCTACAGTTGTAGCCGTTTCACATTACAGAAAAAATTCAATAATGGGCATTAGGTCACACCAGGCATTATTATGCCTTGTGCGCTCATATGTGTGACTTCCTTATTACGCTGAAACAGAGCCACCTATTTTCCGGTGGTCGTAGGTGTTTCCTTTAGGTGCGTGATGACTGATGAGGCTGTGTAGGACATCGAAAACGGGGCGAGAGAAGTTGGGTTTTTCTGTGATGAAGTTTTGTGCTTTTCTCTTGATGGTCAAGAGAAAAGCTAGCATGTTGATCCGAGTCCGTGTATAGGTAACTGCTCACTGTATTCGTTGTGTTTGAGACAATGCGCTCTCTTGGCGCATTGGTCCTATGAATTAGAGGCCTGTTATTATCCGCATAAACTAGCCGTGGTACGATTTCAAGAGAAATTAGATAAAGAGCTAAATTTTCTGTACTTACGATGCAGGGTGAATTCAGATATAGAAACCAAACAAGGAAGCACATATGCGAAGGAAGTTTTCATCACGTGACTTTATCGCGTGACTAGAAACAATTGTGCTCCTCGAATGTGCGCTCTCGAATGTGCGCTAATGGAAAGTTCTTCATGGATCGGTCACCTTTATAGAACCGGGTGTGTAAACACCGAAGGAAAAGCTGCGCGATAGACAAAGTTGTGGCAATCTGAATTTCGTTATAACAATTGGAATCAGGAAAGTTATGGCGTGTTGACTTTACTTCAAATCACTTTATTTTCGTGCTTCCTTCGTTCATAGAGGGGCATTGCCAAATTATACAGCATTTCCAACTTCTTCCGAGTGGTGAATGACACAGCAATTAGGCAGCAGCGAAGATAGTGATTTAAATGCGTCGATTATTTATCTAATTCGTTGCCTCAGTCTTCCATATTCGTTGGCGTCAAGAACATTGCATTGTATCTCTAATAATTGACCGCATTTTCAGGAATGAGTGTTGATGTCATGTGAAGCGACAAGATGGTCTCCCCCGTCCCATATGGTGAACACCTGGCGTATGTCTCTGTGAAGTTAAATATACATTGTTCTATTTTTATGCAGTTTCTAATCAAGGTCTGAGAACCCAGCGGCAGACAGCTTGTAGCGTTTCTAGGCAGCCAAAATGCTGACTCGCGGGCAATTTATCAGTTTTAAAGCATAAGAGAAATTTTGATGAAGTATGTTATCGGAAGCATTATTATCAAACGCCCTGCAGTCTACGGATGTTTTGTTGATCCGGATACCTTGTTTTTGGACTTTAAGGCTCATCAATTATATCATAAGTGAGCTTCACCTGCATTTTTTTTCGAAAGGATTGCATTGTTGCAGTATTAACTAACGTATTGTTTTCTTTATTTTTTTCTGAGGTACGTAACAGATTTTTCGTAACCTAGACAACTGAAGAAAGTGTGTATATTGTGGGGACGTTCTTTTTACAAGTGGAATATCTGCTAAAAATAACTACGTAACTGCCATTTTTACTTGATGTTGTGATGATGACCGATGCGGCCAACGAATAAGACGTGGATAAGTATTACCAAGTTTATTTTCCGTCTGCACTTTGATTCTTATCTAGCGAACTGTTTCTAGGCAACATCATTTACTCACAAAATCTGAGTAAACACTATAAGTAACCGTGAACGATATGCTTACGCATAGCATAAGATACATATTAGTATTGCCGCATTCAACCAGCAAGAAACGAATACGATGTGTTTGCAAGGTACTCGCAAACCGGACAGGCAACAAACAAAGACACAAACAAACAATCTTTTTGTTTATATTTGGCAGAACACGGGAAGGTAGGCTACGTGAGAGCCGGCTATCTTAACATCATAACAGTAATGTAAGTATCAACACACAAGAAAGAAAAATTATATTAAGAAAAAAACTAATCAGAGGCAGTATGCGTATATTGTATACACCATAGGGCTTATAATGCATGAATGAGCAGAGTATGTATGGTCATAGTCCAGTTCACACATCGGAATCACATTGCGGATAGAGTCTGTACAAATAACGGCAAGGTATAATGTGAACTGACGACAGTTCCTTGAATTTGTGTACATTGAAAAACCATAGAGGGCTTCACTGCGCGCCTTTGATTATCCGAGTGTGGCCATGGTTCAAGTATTTTTTCTAATAGTAAATGGTCGTCTGCCAAGTCAGTTCAAGCGAGTGCCTTCCATATAAATATAGTGAGCTCTCCTACATCCGACTTGTGCAGTTTTTCCGTCGTGACAATATTTTCGTACCCAAAAAATGAACTAACAAAATAATTGTAGCCCAAGCAGAGAATTAAGAAAGGAGACACGAGGACAGGATAGGACGCCTGCATCGAAGACAGGATACCGGTGTCCTATTTACCGTTTATGTTTTCCTCGGTTCTTTGCACCGCAATTATTTTCTTAAACTATGCACCATCTCGTTCTACTAAATCTTATGCTATAATTCACGAAAGGAAGTTTTCATGTTCTTTCTCAGGTAGGGTGGATCAAATCGAAAGAGTACCATCGCACGCGGAGAAGCTTTTATACTCGTCTTCTTGTACGGCTGAAGATTGTATACGCATGGTGCGGACGGCGATGGAAACAAATTGTTGTGCAAGCTCCGAATGCAGCCGAACTAGGCGCATCAGAGGAGCCGCTCGGTTCAGCGTTAGGGAATTTCGCTGCCTCTACTGCTCGCATTGCGCAAAAGCAGCCGCCGCGTCAGACACCGGATGTGGCGCCGCAAGGCGTGAACGCTTGCATTTAATCGGTAACTGAGACGAACCCCTCCTCGGTGCTTCTATCTGTACGCTGCAAGGCCTGTACGGATGAAAAAAACAGCAATTATGGCTACACAGACGCAGCTCAGATATCAGGCGCAGGAGTGCCTGGCACTCGTCCAACAGCTCGCGCTTCATAGCGGCTCTGTAGCCTTTCACGAGGCACGTAGAAAGACCTTGGTAGCCCTTATTATGGCGATATGGAGGCCAATTGAGGATCCTCTGTTTGCCGGTGTTCTTGGCCTTCAGACAATCGGTAACCTGCTGAGCAGCAGTGTTGATTGATTGGATAAATGCCCACGCGACGTGTTTACCTGCTTCATTTTTTTTTTATTCTTTGCGCATCTCTATCGCCATTGTGTTCCAGATGTGCGTAGCACAACTGCATCAACATACGGATACTCGGAACGATTGACTGGTCTAGACATGCTGCAAAACAACGTGAGACTGTATGGTGATATTTATATTATACATCTGCGTCTGCCGTTTTAGATATGATTGTGTAATGCAAATCGTATCTGTGCCCCTTGTGAGAGCTACCAGTGGCAAAGGTTAGAAAATGCGGATTAGCGCCAGGACTATATATACCAACCATCGCGACAAATGTATTAAATATACCCTAACTTGTATATGCTAAACATATATGCTAATTGTATGTGCTTGTATATGCTAAAACTCTATAGCAATTACCGGATGCAAAATACGTGCTTTCATGGCTTCACATGGTATCATACGTGCTTCCAACTTGAGCTGTGTAACATCGCAATAGTTTGGTAGAAAGCACAGCTTCATATCTTCTAATTGAAGTATTTTTGCATCTGTGAAAGCTGTTTGCAGAACATTTGCACTTTGCCACTAGTAATTCACATCGCAATACTGAAAACCTTATAATTTGCGTAATTCATTTAGCTGTAAGCTTAAGCTGCGATGAAGTCATTGGTGGTGTTTGTTGACAGCGACAGACTGGGATGGGAACACTATCGTGAAGCGCCTGCCCTATGTGCCGCGGCAGGTGCCTGCGGCGTTTGATCTAAAAAAATGGGCCGAAGGTACCGATGAAGGTGATGGCTGTTTCCCTTTACTACCGACCGACAATAGCAAGGAGTGACTGCTCATCACATCAGAGACAAGCATTTTACCGATCATCCCCGCTCTCCATGCGTAATCGTGCCAACCACTATTAAGCTTCGCGGTGGGATGTCTCAGAGCAGCACAAGCTCGGAAATAAGAATATTATCTTTTTTTTATTGATGTGATATATAAGGAGATGTTGGCGCACCATTATGGCGCCGGCTACTCCTTTAAGAATATTATCAGTGTTTCTACGTTCCGAAACCACGATATGTTAATGAGAAACGCCGTAGGGGAGGACTCCGGAAATTTTGACCATTCGGTGTTTTTTTTTTTTTTAACGTGCCGTCACGTCACACAGTGCATGGACCTCTGTCATTTCACCTCCATCTAAATGCTACCACCGCAGCTGGGATCAAACACGTGAACTTTTGGGTCAGTGGCCAAGCCCCGTAGTCACTATTCCGCCGACGCGGACGTACGTAGTATCAGAATTATTCCAAGTTTTCAAAAAACATTTCTCACTTGACTGTGTTTTGGGTGTCTGCCCCACACTACAGAGGCGTGCTATGGAACTTTCGTTCGCGTATTTTGAGAGTATCGGTCAGCTCGACAAACTTTGGCTCTATATTGAAACCACGGAATGAGAAACTACGCACCTCCTCACCTAGTCGACAAATTGTTCGGCCTTTTTTATTGTTTTTCTTCCATCTTCAATCTGAACACCTTGTCATTTGATTTCCCTTTCTCACTATTCCCCGTTTTAATCTCCCTTCCCACGCAGGGTAGCAAGTCAGTGATTAGCATGTCTGCTAAACTCCCTGCTTTTTAATAAAAGTTCTTTCCCCCTCTTTTTTTTATTCTAGGTATGACCGTGTAAAAACAACACAACTTTTCACTATAAATATTCCCGCTTGATGAAATCGCTGAGAAATACATTATACAATCTTCTTTCATTCATCAGTTGATAGCGATTATTGTGGTCTTATTTTGGGCTCCATTAGATACTCAACTTGCCTGAAAACGCGCTTTGCACATTCTTCACAATGCTGAATCTATAGAAAGCTATGCAGCTTATTTTAACATCTGGTATAATGTTCTTTCTTGAAAAGAGGTCAGTGTATGGCATCGAGGGCATGATTTTGACTCTCCCGATGCTTGGGTGAAATATGGTCGCAATATCACAGCTCTGAATCTCTGACTTTCTCAGAGGGGCGTCACACATGTTTGCATCATCGTTTGCCTCAAACGCCCTTATTCTGTTAATACGTTTAGCTATCCCGTCCACAAGCACATTTTCATATGGCAAGAGCTGACGGCAACGTTAATTGAGATCGCGTTGTGGACTGCACTTCAGGCTATACGCCCCACAAAGGCAGCGTGACTTTTTTACTTCGAACAAAATTTTAGTTGCGCATTGCAAGTCCTACACAAAACTTTCAAATAAAAATGCACTTATTTATAACGAGCAGAGATACATACAGCATAAACGCATAAACGTTTAGAGGATATTGCGATAGAGTCCCCTATGTTGGTTTGGCTATTGTCGGTAGGGGCGGTACGCGTCATTCTGCACAATCTGCCGAAGCCTTAAAAGCTAATTTTTGTTTATTGATGAAACAGCGCTTGTTTCGCTCACCAATAATATTGTCATGACGAGAAAACAGAGGTCTTGCCGCAGAGATCGAGGCAGCAGAAGCAGGTCGGTTTTTTTAATAGAACGCGCAAGCGAGGTCTTCTTTTTCATCCATTTCATAGTCCTTCAAGGCACATGTATGACTGTCATCGTCTTTCTTGATCGAGCAAATGACAATATCTCCAGTGACAGAGTCTATCTCGGTCAATATTCTGTACAGTTTTCAGCGCCTTTACTGATCAAGAGAGAGAGAGAGATAAAGATGCAAGGAGAGGCAGGGAGGTTAACCAGACGCACATCCGGTTTGCTACCCTGCACTGGGGAAGGGATAAAGGGGAGAAAACAGGTTGCAGAAAGATGAGAAGGTACACACAATCACGAGCACACTCGGGGAGCTTAGGTTTGTTGACTTAAGGTGAAGTAGCAGTGCTTTAGTTGCTTTCTGCGCAACTGAGGCAGATGCCCAAGGTCCTAGTATCTTCGGCACACAAAATGTTCCGGGGTCAAGGCGATTCAAAACCGTCCGTAGCTGGCATCACTGTGTGTCGTAGCAAGCGCAGCTGCACAGGACGTGTTCGATGGTCTCTTCAGCTCCGCAGTAGTCGCATGTAGGGGTGTCTGCCATACAATTGCGAAAGGAGTACACCTTTGTGAATGCAACACACAATAAAAGGCGGCATAACAGTGTCGCATCGGAGCGGGAAAGTTGTGATGGTAGCTTTAACTTGAGCGAAGGATCCAGTTCATAAAATTGACACCTTTGGAAGCTGGTAGACGACCAGAACGTGCGTGTGAGGTCTCGAGCCAGCAGGTAAAGTTGTCTTGCTGCATCATTCCTTGATAGAGGAATCGGGACTACACGGATTTCTTCATGGGCTGAGCGGGCTGCATCATCGGCTAATTGATTTCCGGTAATACCGATATGTCCAGGCAGCCATTGATATATAATATCATGCCCTCGTGCTAGAGCTTCATGATGGCAATGTCTTATTTCTTGTACCAGTTGGTCATGGCTCCTCCTACGCATGGCAGACTGCAAACTCTGAAGCGCTGCCTTCGA